ACCCAAAGCAGCCAGAGTATAGAAAGTCAAGAAAGGGGTTTAATCATTTTAAATGGGTCTATTCTGCTCCATGTTGCTTGCTGTAGAGGTGAAGTACCGTAAAACTGTTTCGTTATTGGGATGGTTCGTCTCAAGTGTGCTTCTTTGTCTGCAATAGAGATAAAGCTGCATAGATTTTTGTATCGACTCAAAAGCCGCATGGATTTTGGATCTACTCATCCGGGTGGAACAGGCGCTGTTGTGGTGAAGATCACACACATCACGCATAAACGCCTGAGCATCACTGATGTAAGAGCATGCGCACTAAAGAGTGTTTTGCCTGCGCACTAAAGAGTGTTTTGTATGCGCACTAAAGAGTGTTTTGCATGCACACGTCGATTGTATTTGTTCAGTTCTACAAGGTGACACCTGCAGAGCTCCATGTGTCCACTCTCGAGGAGGCCATTATCTGCAGGATTGGGGCCAGAGATGCTCTCTGATAACTAGCCAAGTGTTCAGACTCTGAGGGCGAGGAAATGACGCTGCGTGGTCTTCTTCAATGGAAGTCCATTAAAGCTGAGACGTGAGTATTGCCCCAAGAAAGGAAGATCCAGACTCCGTATCTGTTGGCCAGCCATCTCAGCGGTGAAGGCATTTGTCTAAGCGGAATGCCATGCCAGCGTCAATGGCAATCTTGTTCCTGAGACGCAGAGGAAAGGGCAACGTTGTTGATGAAACAAACGATTGCAGCGGAGAATCGACTTTGAGGCTAAGTTTCAGCGTTATCGTTCTACTATAGTTTCTACCACGCTTGGCGAAAATTTTTTAGATCGTTTTCCAAAGACGACAGGGATGAAGAGCCGTCATCGGTCGCAGCATACCTGGCATCGCGGTGGCTTTGGCACCGACCAAGGAAGGCGCAGAGAGGCGTGGATCAGGTTCAACTAAAGATAAAGAAGCTACGGATGGTACCAAGCTCTGCGCGGAGTCTGTGGTGCTGACACGAATTATTTTATTTATCCAACCGGGTGGTCGGAGACACCCAAATTGACAAACTCAAGATCAGACCCTCGATCAACTCCCAACCCGTCGTGTACGAGACGCAGTTGAACGGAAGTGCCGCCACCGCTTGAGCGCGTGGACGAAGGCGAGGAGCTCCTTCTTGCGTGCATCGTCAATGGAATGCACGACAGGCACTTTCTTGCTCACTTAGCTCAAGCGGTGGCGGCACTTCCTCCTTGGTCGACAGACCCTCTTCGGAAGGACCCTTGAGGTGCCGAAGCTACGGAAGGTAGCAAGCTCTGCAGTGTATCCACCCCCTCTCGAGAAAGGGGGTCAGCGGGAAGGACCCTCGGTCAGCTTCCAATCCATGTCTAGGAGACGCAGTTGAATGGGTGCATGAGCGTGAGGTGCGGAAGATACGAATGCTAGCAAGATGTGCGGCGTATGTGGCCCGACTATGGGCAGGGTTTTGAACAGGCTATGTGAAAGGGTGTGGAGCTGATGCCGGGCTAAGTGGAGTTGGTGCAATGGCGCCAAGACGGAACTACATGTAGTATCAAGAAGGGAAGGCACAGAGGGGTATATGGTACAAGGGAAGGGAAGTCCTGGAGAAGGCCCAACCTAAAGAACGTGTGAAGGGCGTTAAGGAACGCAGTACATGAGGGGAATGATGATTATGACCAGGGCTCAGATAGGCAGGCTACGTGAAGGTGTGCAGATGATACCCCGGTGAAGTGCCGTTGGTGTAGAGAGGGGCCAGGTGTAGTGAAGGCTGTCGATGGCCAATCGGGAAAGGGGCGACGATCACATGGCCTGAAAGTGCAAGACAGGGTTTGGGCGCTGTATACCTTTTAGCGGGTGGAGCATTTCTCTCTATCGGCCATCCCTGAGGGCATACTTGCACTGGGACTTTTTTTATTGACTTTTGAACGTTATCGGCCCTGATTGCAGTCAGATACGTCCACGGAAGTCCTGGTGTCGGTTTGCTCTTGGTAGGAATTCATTGGGCGCGCTTTCGAGTTTTGTGCTCGTCTCCAGCTGCTGCCCTCCATTGAGAATCTACGAAGCAGTTCACCCAACCCAGCAGAAGTGGATCGTCTCGGCAGTTCAGCAGCAGCTGGGTGCTGTGCGGAGTTGAATTGAGAAAGCTGAAGTGGATTGTCTCGGCGTAGAGGTGTTTTCTTTCCGTTTTTGGGTTCGCTGCGGCTGCTCGTTGATCGGCAGGCTTGCGGCTTTTTGATGGCTCCTTGTTCTTTTGTGCATCATCATTGTGCGTAGTGCATCTTCAGACCTGAGACCACAGAGGAAAATTGAGAGAAGAGTATA